TCTGCAAATAACACAAGATAAAGAATGTTTCTGACAGACCGACAAACAAACAAATGTGTGGAACGCATTTGAGAATTGGGATCTGTGTGGGTTATGATTTCATGTGGCAGCAACAGGACACAAATACCTCAGAATGGAGAATGGAGTGTTTGAAAAATGCTATTTTGCCATCAAGTTGGTGGATCTGAGTGGAGTGGAGTGCACAACATTTGGTGCATTATTTTGTTTTTTAGTAAATAATGAAACAAGTGCTGTTGAAACGTGAAAAAAGTGTAATTTGTTAGCACTTAGACACATTAGAAAACACATTAGAATGGATCGATTGGACCAGCACTGCAAATTGAGGACCTTGACATCAGGGTGGATTTGTCAATGCATTTAATTTATGCATACGCTTTTGGTTTTATGACAAAATGCTAAATTTGTATGCATAAAATAATATATAATTTGCATGGCATAGGATGGTGGGGTATGGCTCAGAACTTATGGCAACTTTTTAAAATATATTATCAATAGTTTTTAATATGTAATAAATGCTCCTTTTCGTCCGATGTCAGTGTGTGAATGACAGCAGCTGGCAGGCTGCCAGAGTGCCGAAGTTACACTGAAGGGAAGGAGAGACAAACTTAACAAACATGCCGTGTAGCTTACTTGTCGTGGGCGGACAATTGTTGGTGGTATTGAAGAGTAGGGACCACATCAGCATCTAACTGGACCCGAGTGGCATTTGCGGGTATGTTAATTGGCTATCTAGCCGGCAAACAGCAGTGCAATTTTTCCCTGGTGAATGTTTGTTTAGCGGCTCGTTCAACTAACTAAGGTGCAGGACAAGGAGTGTGTTCATGTTCTCGAATTAGATAAGAAAGAGACTATAGCAGGAAAGCTAATGTGGTGTTGACTCAGTGTAACCGTCTTCCCTGCATATGCCAGAACACTGACGTTACCGTTTCATGCAACATTTAATTCCTTGCATCAAAGCAAGGCCTTTATCTACGTAGATGAATACCGTAATGGCATTCTGTCAAATTAGTGCAAAACAAGGGGGCGCCAACATGAAACCAAAGAATGAAAAGTATAAATTTTGGTTTCTGATTTTGTCCTTTAAAAAAAAAAGAACACAGGATGACTGATTTTGAGAACAGATATGTAGCAGATGAAAAAAATATGCAATTTAGTTTTAATTGGACTTTAAGCATCACTATCAAGGAAGCTATGTCCTTTTTGAACAAACCAAATCCACTTTGTTGGAGATCAGGGAAGAGCACTGCACCATCATCCTTTCAACGCAGCACTGCTCAATTTATCCAACGTCAGTACAATTTGATAAAATCTCATTAAATCCAGGATGTTTTTTATCACCTGAAAGATACAATCTCTGATTTTGTTAATAGCACTCACAGGTCCTCAGATGTCATCCCGAGACATTTGAGCTCTGTGTGCAGAAGCATTCATATCCTCAGTACCAGTGAGGGAATGGCTGCAGTGGATGGCCCCCATACATTTGTTAAACTGTCCCCATGGTTCTCCACCAAATGATTTGGCTCTCCTTGCGATGGCATTGAACTGTTTCCTACAGCGGACAGCAGTTCTCGTAGGACCTGGGCAGCAATTATTAACCAAATGTGTTATCTCCTCCCATTTAACATCATCTGCCCTCAGTTGCTTATTTACAATGCTGTGTATTTGATCTTGGTGAGTCAGCACTTTGTGCAAGTAAACATCCGTTAATTCATGAGAGAATTTTCTTTTTTTTTTTGTGTGTAAAGTTTTGTGTTCTCTGTGGCTTCCATATTTACACTGAAAGAGCAGCGTGGCGTTGAGTCTGCATATTTTAAAGGGAAGAATACTGTAAGAGTGATTCTGATTCCCGCTGTGCAGCTGGTGCACTGCACCACATGGCTCCAACCCCCAAAATACCAAAAGTTAATCACAACACCCCAGTGTTTTTCCCCAGAGTGAATTGATTCAGTGGGGCCTTTAGATTGTGATGGGGGCATGCAGTACATTCATTTTGATCAAGCCTATCTTCTAGTAATGTGTTTTTAATTGCATTACAAAAAAACTTTCCTCGCAATTTTCACCACTTCCTTTTGTCCCCATAGGATCGTTTCTTTATCACGATGCCTCTTCTCACAATACTTATTTTCATCAAGACAAATAGGATCGTTTAATACCGAGGAAATATGTGACATAACGTAAAGATGACGACATCATATCATATTGACAGCTTAGTTGTCACGATGACTCATATTTGTCCACTGTTCCTTATTATCACTCAGCACTGTTTGCTGAACCAGAGTGTCAGAGTGCCTATAATGGTCAGACGCAAAACCCACAAAGCAAACAAGCAAAAAGAATCTGGCAGGAGATAAATTGGCAAGTAGAAGAATGGCAACTCTTAGTATCACAATAGAAACAGGCTTACAGAAAAAAGCCCAGAGAATTTACTTTCCTCATGTGGCCTGTATGAATGTAAAGGTACTCACTGCAGGAGGTTTCAGGGATTCAGACAGAAAAGACACCGCAGGTGGTCGAAATGACTAAACCTCTGGGTCAACAGCAGAACTGATTTTTATGGTGATGGGGCAATCAAGAGCACACAGTAACTTGAGGGTCTATATGTAATGTAAAAGTGAAGATCAGAGTTTGCGGTATAGAAATGACTTGCTCAAGGGCAAGCAAAAAAAAGAAAATGTGTGTCTATACTGTGACCTAATTTGTTTGGTGCTGCCTCAGAGTATAAAATAAAATCACTCTTCACTGTGCAACACTTTTAGTTTGTAGCCAATTCTTGCGCAAAGCCGTAGCTGTATAGAAAAGGATTTAGTCATCCAATCAGCTTTCCTTACCAAATTGAGAAGTTTAGCAGTGGTTTAACAGTACACAATGTTATGATCATGTGCAGTAGTTACCTTTAAAACAACGAAAATAAATAATTAGTTTGCTGAAAAACACGTCTTCAGGCCAAACCTATTTTGTTCCTGCCATTTGAAAATGTGTCCAAAACTTCCTTAAACATGTTTATTACAGTCTTTACCATATTGAATACAACATACTGTATATCTAGTACTCGCTACATGTCCACAAAATATTTCATGGTGAACCTTTTCGTCAATAGGTTTGTGAAAAATGTATTTACATACTGACACATTTTCTCATACACGTTTTTGTTTTCCAATGAAAATTCACACTCACACCCCATCTTTGCACAAAGGCATATTATTATCCATTCCCTGCTCAGCATCGTCCCTCCCTATCAGATTATGTATTGTTTCATTTTGACAGCCAAGCTCAAATTAGTGTTACGTAATTTGCCTAAAATGGGCCTGTTCAGTACACTGTCATATGTTGTCATTGCCGCTGAGTATCTGGTTGATAGGGTGAAAAAGAGGCTTGTTTTCCTTCTGTCAAATGTGCAATTAGAGCTGGAATGCAGAATTGTTAGTTGATAGCTGAGATTTCATTACAATCAGTCCTAGGAACTGATTATACTTCAAATAGGCAGTATAATTATAATGTAGTGAAGTTAATATTGTTGAGTAGAATATTCAAATTATCCAAGATTGTTCCTGGTGATTTGACAAGTAGGTGAATAATGAAATGCTGAATCAAATTAAGACGTCATAAGATACTGACACACTTATTTTAACCGTGATATGACACACAGTTTCCCTTTAAGTATGCTACTGTGATTTCTTTCACTTTTGCAATCAAGTAGTTCATCATCTATTTAACAGGAAAAGATTAGGCCCATTAAATTTGCCCTGCTCTTTTAAGATGCGTTATTGTCTAATAAACCATGAAAGGGGGAGGATTGGGTGCTTCACGGCCAGGGGCCAAAGTTCTTCAATGCAGTTACTGATGAAAATCATTTCTTTATCAGTAAGTAAGACATCATTTCACTTCCAAGTGGATAATAATGTTCACAGTCAATGCAAAATGAGGATATGGATCATTTGTATGTTCTTTCTGAAATTGTAAAATGTTTTCAAGATTATTTTTTATAATTTCTTCCATTAAGCAGGATGTAATGGAGCTGTGGCGTTTCACTTTAAGATCGATGCAACATGAAATAAATGGGAGATGATTCAGTACTGTACAGTATATGCCAGAATAGTAGTTATACTACGACTGCTTCTTAACATGAGTTGCCCGACCCAGGCGGTGTTAGGTGTAGCCTGTATTGTCTGCTGCCTCTAGGATTTAAAAAAAAATACAGGAACACCATAAATCATGCCTTGTTTGAATCTGTTTTCAGACGACCCGTCCATGCTACTTTGCTGATCTGTGTGCCCAGTTTTAAAAAAAAATGCATCGTCTCTAAAATATTTAAAGAACCGTGAGTCAAATTTTGTATTATAGTGCCATTTTTGTAGAGCTAGGGCAATAATACAATTGTATTAACCACCCCTAGCAGCTTTAGTGGAATTCAGTTCTTATTTTGTATTTGATAAAAAAGGCAATATTGTGTATCACTTTAGTTTTAACAATTCATGAAGTCACAAGTCAATAGTTGAACGTTTCCTCCAGCAGTAATTGACACCACTGGGTAAAGGGAGATGGTGTTCTTCCACATTAGTGGGTGGGTGTCATAACATATCGTAAAGCAGTCTTCTAACCTTGTCACAACTTATCATGACACCAATTATCTGTAAAAAAAAAAAAAGAAAATACAATCACACAGCTGAGGATGTACTTCACGCTCATCTGCAAAAGGGTAACAGTCCTTGTATGGAGAGGCACGATCTGTTTAGCTTTCTGAAAAACTCCAGGGAGGCATGAAGGGTGAACCTTCTGAGAAAGAGCAGAAAATAAATACACATCATGTCACACTAAAGTGACAATGACAAGGGCACTTTCTTATTTGTTCAGTACAACACAATTAACCTAACTCTATGACATCTTCTTGCACTGCGAAAATAGACTGTCATGTAACAGCTCTCTATTTCTGTGTCTCCCTCCCTCTCTCTCTCTCTCTCTCCTCTTTTCTCTCCCATCAGGTCTCCACATAATGGAGCGAGAATGAACAGAGAGCGGCTTAAAAAAAAGCATGAACTGGAGGTTTATTGAGGTCATCTGCTTCCTGTTTATATGGGACCATATAACAGTTCAGGCTTCCCGCCAGGACCCGTTGGCCACTGAACAACATGTCACCAAGCAATATGACTGGCTCATCTCTGACCGTGGACCTTTCCACCACTCTCGGAGTTATCTGTCCTTTGTGGAAAGATTCCGCCAAGGATTTACGACCAGATATAAAATTTATAGGTGAGTTCACTTTCAGCCTGTGTACTGATGCCACCCAGGTTTTTTTAAAATCTGTCTGTTTTAATGGTTTTTCTATTTGCTTTCTATTTTGGTTGCAAATGCACTGTGTACATTTTTATCCTATTATGTGTGCATCTTTTATACTGACTTGCAACCACTCTCCGCACTGTGAACTTCTTTTTCTTATATTAATAAGGTACTCTGCTAGGACTTTCTCTCCACTCTTAGTCCCAGATCACAATCCAGAAATACTGGATTCTACTCTTTGCATGGTCCAGTTTAAAAGTGTCCCATGCACAACAGAGACTTTAGTTACACATTTTTAGTCCTCAAGCCCAATCCAAGACTCTACCGATGACATCACCAGAGTTATTTTTCGGCCTTTAGAAAGACACAAAACTGGTTTTACAGGTTAACTAATCATAACGTGTAATATTTCATTACGTTAGCTTTTTTTTGTCAAACAATTGGTTTCACATTACACATTAGGAGTCCCTTGACGATTTTAACTAGCTATTGATAAACAAAATATTTTTTTGGACACAAACACATTAAAACATGCATACATTATTCACTACCAACAAAGATAAAAATAAAAGGGTTCAGTGCCCAAAACATGTTCAGTATCAAAGTGAGTTAAATCATATTTAATGGGTATTCTGATTCATCCATTCCTCTACTTGCAAATTTCCCACATACCATATAAATACTAAGAACTTAATATACTCTTAGTTCATAAGTGTTTATGCTAACCCTAGCCCTAAACTGTGTTAGGACCATTAGAAATAATGTATCTTCAAACCATCGATCACTGATTTCTATGAGTGCTCAACTATTATATTAATATAGCTTATATTTTGCTTTGCATTGCACATCGCATCATTTGTTACATACAGAGAAAGTGGTAGAGAAATTAGATAGAAACCCTCTTTCTCACAAAGACATGCTTTGATTTCCTTGCATCCTCAATCCCTAGCCTTCTAACTCAGAAGTATAGAAAGACAGAGAAAGAGTAAGAGAGTCATTTGCTACATTCCTTTGGCAGTTCTTTCACAGAGTTTGTTCACTGTCTCAGTGCTCCGTCTCTCTTGGTAACTTGCCACAGCCCCGGGTCCCCACTGGCTTCCTTGCCTTGATATTGTCACATGAACAGTAAACAATGTATTTGCATAATGTGTAACTTGACAGAGCGGGTTGTTGCACAGAGACATGAATCTCAGAGGCAAAACTTCTGAGGCCGCCTTCCACAGACGCTGTACAGCCGTCGAGCGCTGACTGTGATGCTGCAGTGATTTATGAAAATAGAGTGTGTGTTTGCACGTTGGGGGCTGACGGGAACGTTGCCGAGGCCCAGGTGGCTCCTGTTGTTTCTACCTCTTAACAAACCATTAGTGGCATCAAATTCAGCCACCATTGCTAGATATCCCTTTACTCATGACAAGACAATTCATTTTCACACTAAGAGTGCGAAGAATTCGATGTCAACAATCCACATTCCCATCTGTCCGGCATCTGCAAAACTGTCATGAGATTTTAAAGTTTGATCGATTCCTTTTGTGGCTTCGTTCTGATTGATTTTCAGATATATAAAGCCTTTGAACATATCTATTACTTTAACATACAGTATACACTGTACAATACATTGTAGTGTACTCTACCGCTGTATTAGTGGAGTAAATTAAAGATGATTTTTCTGCATGGAATGCATACTTAGTAAATAATCATATACAGTATTTGAGTTAAGGGTATGCAAAGTTCTCGCAGAGGTCCAAGTGTTTTCCAAGGATTTTAATCCCAACCCGGTTCACGAGTTCAATTCAATGATTAGTGCATCTTCAACCAGAGGGACGGGAGACGGGGGACGGGGCGGCGGGGGGGTAAATCGGTGACATCAGCTGTTGCTAGTGTTTGGTTGGAATGAAATCATACACACTCTCGGTCCTCCTTGGCACATGATTGCCCAGCCGTGCTCCACTCTAACCAGCAATGAGAACTGAATCGCTTTGTAAATTTCCCCGGGGACTTTCTCTGCCTCGACGATTTAGTGGTGGAAAGTGGTTGAATCAGATTTGCAGAGAGACAAAGCATCCATTCCTTTCGGGTTCTCTTATCAAGAGAGATTACCCCGGAGGCACGCCGCATGGACAATGCCAACCTGATCGGCAACAAATAAATCTGCCCCATCTTTAATGACGTGGGCATTGCGCCTAATTTGAAGGATAAACAGAGATTTCGGAAGTGCCAGTGCTCTGAAAAGGTCACAGTCGCTTGAAGGGGAAAGACACACCACAAGGCACCAATTATCCTCTCCCTCTTGACTTATGTCTCTTAAAGAAATGATTGGAGTAATCGTCACTTTTGTGTCACTGCTGATTGTGATCTTCAAACTGAATTGCTTCCTTTTTTCCCCCCTCCCCTGTTATCATATGCATAAGTGTACATTTCCTATATATTATTTATCAGTCACAAGAAAGCCACTTTCACTGCTGGCTGCATTCTGCTCCTGAATCAGACATGAGGCCGAATTATGTGTATCAATGTGTGCTTCAGTCAGTGGTGAAACTGGATGGCCTGTTTTGCTCACACTGGCATCTCTCATCCTGTTGCTTTTACTCTATTATGGGGTCGAATGTGTTTCAGATAATGCGTGTTCTCTCTTTGGTCTTTGTTCGCGGGAGCTCTATCTCAGGTTCTTGTGTGCCTGAGCAAAAAACCAATATAAATGCAAATCTGGTGGCCATTAATGCATTTTAAAGGCCTCAAATCAGCATTGCTCTGTAATCAAAGAAGCGAGATTGGGGTTGTTATTTGAAATAGAAATATTTATGAAAATGAATAGTTCTGATTGATCAGACTTTGAAAAGACACGGTGGAGTGAATGAACAGAGAAGGTTGATAGAGCCCCACTTCTCATTGGACCAGGGCTCATGAAGACCTCAAAAATAAAAAAAATCTATCAAAGGTTTTGAACAAAACCTTGTAATATCCTGTGGAAGAGCAACGCTTGAAAATTAAATGAAAACTAACATGTTGTCCAAGGTAATAACAAAAGACCCATTTTGGTCATTTCTTCACGTTTGGATTGACGTAATGCTTGCAAAGCACTGACAGAATCAGTTAAAATGTCTATGCTCTGTACATATGATAAGATAAACCACGTGTCACACACAGACTCATTTAAAAAACGAAACGTTTTACTGCACTGATTAAGATAATTGCAAAGCCAGTATAATATCTATTATCACTATACTCAATTACTGACTCATTAAAACCTTTGGAGACTGCTTGCACATAAAATGTTACCAAAATGGTTTTAGCTCTTCTCAAAGAGATACAAGAACGCAATGAGTTTCATGTTGATAATTCTCTTCATTCTCTACCTCTCCTCATCTGACACAGAGCCTCCTTTCTGATACTATATTATTTCTGCCGGTCTGTGTTTCTGTCTCACTTTATTTAATTTTGCTCTATTATGATGACACAGCAGTAAAAGCTGCTTTTATGCGAGTTCTGCTGCAACACAAAAGTAAACATTTCACAGATACTCAAGGTAATGAATAGATAGCTAAGAAGTCAAGCCAAACACCCTCTTAGCGCCTGTCATAGAAAGCTCCTGCAGAACTGTGCTTGAAAAGACAATGACAAAATTGGTACACTACATGGCAAAAAAGCATCTTAAGTTTTAATATTTCAGTATATTTAAGTATATCGCTTCAATAAAGTATTATATAAAGTATATACTCATTTTTATTTATAAATTATTAATATTCTGGCTTTTCCAACATGTGAAAATCAAGAGATTAAAAAATGTCCATTTTTATTCTTTTTGACTTTATTGGTCTATTTGGTAAGTTTAAATAAAGAGTGTTTGCTCAATAATGTATTTCAAGCTTTGTTGCTGGAAATATTAAGAAATAGTCAGACATTTTGGGACACGTCTTATGTCAATATAGTGAATATAAAGCTACTGTAGCGTGAAGGAAAATAGCAAACCCGGCAGTGTCCAAATGTATAAAAATCTACTTTACCAGCACCTCTAAAACTCAATAAATTATATATTTCTATGGTTACAGTGGTGAACATAGATGGAGCTACCGGTAGCTCCCATGAACTTTGCTATATTTTTGTATTTAATTTGTTCTCTTTTCGTGCTTATTACTGGAGCACGTATGGCATATGGCAGACATGCATTCATCAACGTCGGAGAAGGAAGCATAGGGATTGGATAAAGTGCAGTGGACCTTGAGACAATCACCGCCGACGGCATCTTCCGATCAGCCAGCCAGACCAGCCGGACTGAAGAAAAGCAGAGTCCACTGCCCCAGGATGAGAGGGAGGAGAGCCGAGATGGAAGCTAAGCCAACCCAGCAAGGACAAGAGGCAATTTCACTAGCCAGCTTACTCCTGGCTAATGGCCAGTTGCATTAATATAAAATGGATATTGTGCCCGCATCTCCACAGACCTGGCTCCATTGTGGCATCTCAGATCAAGCTGCTCTTGCTGGACGCGGTGGGATGAAAGGAAGTGGATCAGTGATGCTTGGTGCTCAAACAAATTCTAAGTTGATGGATAATGTTTTCCTGATGTTGATGTTTTTTTAATATTAAGAAGCTGGCCATATTATCTACTCAGAGATTGTGACAAGCGATGTGACAAAAAGGAAGTGGTCAGATGTTGTAAATGTTAACCTCTAAGCAAACGAGGGCAACATTTGCCTGGAAAAGTTCAAGATTACAATTCTGAACAAAAATAAGGAGTACTTGGCACTAGGTCGGCCCTGTTAATACACCCTCGGTGTTGAGGAAGAAGTGGCAGAAGATTAGGCAATTTCTCCACTACCAGTTGGTCTCCACCATGAGGACATATCCATTCATATAAGTGTGTCCTTTGAGGCTGAAATAAGCATTCCTTAACACTCAGCTTTGACAAACAGCATGGTTATATTCAATGCAAGCACATTATGCATATCTCTTACTGAACATTTCCTTCATGATATTAA